AAATTGTTCGTCTCGCGGAGGAACGGTGCTCGCCATTTCTGGCGAAAATGCCGCTGGCTAAAGGTTTCGGTCCTGGTTTAACGAAAAAGAACGGGACGAAGGTAAAGAAAGAAAGAAAAAAATAAGAAAGAAAGAAAATCGACGACACGAGCGGTTAGACGAAAGAACCCGAAGAAGGCAGCAGGGTCAATAACATACGTTTTGGCTTCTCCCTTTCTCTTCGTCCTTTTTCCAAGCCAGATAATTCGAGAGCCGGCTCGAGCCCTCTGGCCAAAGAATGCACTTTCTGCGTTGCATGTATCGCGTCTCTGGCTTGCATTGACAAACGCCCCGAGATCTTCAGGCTGTAATAATCGATGAAAAAGAAAGCAACCAGTCCCCGTATCCCCCGTGATTGTTGCATTAAAAACCGACGGGGTGCTTTGTTCGTCATTTTCTCGTCCTAGGGTGCTACATACCAACGTTGCCTCAACGTACCTTTGCTCTTTTCAACAGCACGATTCGATTGGAAATGTATTTTTTTTTCTTTTTCCTTTTTTTCTCTTAAATCAGGTAAACGTTAGCTATTTCAGGATTATAAATTGCAGTGATTAGGCGTGTAACCGGTATGACTTCGTAAAAGTTAAGTACTTTGGAGACTGGAGAGAAGTTTTGTTCTCCTTCTGAGAATACATCTTGTGAAATAAAGTTTTATTTATAAGACACGTTCGATAGAAGGTTTGCTACGTTTTCTCAACTGTTCTTCTCATTATTGTCTTGACGCCATCACTGGGAGATCGGGCGAAACTAAATAGAAAACAATGAGTTCATTAAGATGCCGTATCTTTGACTTGCTGACACAGTCTTAAGATATTGGTCCCCGAGAAACTATTGTCTCGTTAGAGCGTCTTAAATTGCAAAATTTATATAACGAATGTTTGATGGTAGATAAGCTAAAATAATTACGATTCGCGATGCGTATGTTTGAATTGGAACGCAAAGGAGAAAAATAAAATTTCATGCGTGTTCAGATTTGGTTAGGCCGATGGTCAAAGTGTCAAGGGACAGAAGAAGGTTTTTCACTGGAATACAATGGAACATCGTACATGAACGAAGGCTCGAAGCACGTAAACAATTACTACAAGTTGTTTCGTGAAACTGGCTTCCTTTGGAAGGCCAGTGGTAATGTAAATACCTATAGTATATTACGGTTCGCGAGTGTGACACAGCAGCATTGTTCTACGAGGACGTGACTTCCTCGTATTTTTCAATTACTCCCATCGCACCACGTGTTCCTCCGCACGTTTAGTATTTTTCCAGACCACCCGTGCTATAAATTTCTTCCTCGGGGACCTCCATCGAAGAAGAAATGAAAAAAAAAAGAAGAAAATCAAAGCTATTCTCCTTGATTTTCACTCCGCTTATTTGCCTTGAAACAAGTATCGAATATTAATCACCTTTAGCCTATAAATATGATAATGAATGTAGTAATACGTTATGTATATGGATGCTATACATGAAGCTTTCACCGGCGCAGTAGAAACAGCAACGTATAGTCAGACAGAGAATAATATAGATTATTAAATACACTAAGCACTCATTTTCTAATCTCCGAGCCTGAATTTGTTACTTCGACTTCCCTGTGTAATTTCATTATTACTACCATTGGACACTTTTGTTTAGGCCCTCTTAAACCTTAATTGCAATACTAAAATTACATCACACAATAATTGCAGGGAAGAGAAGTAAAATTGAAAAAATCCTGAACGTAGAGAGGGCAATGGTGAGTAATAGAACATTGTAGAATTGCACGCGAGGTATACACGCCCAGAGCCTTCTTCTCAATCTCGTATTTTAATAAAACCGATACGTCGAACGGAACACTGGCGTTGGTTCGATAAGTGCGGCAACATATTTCATTCGTCTGCCGAAAAATGCGAGCCGCTTCACGGCCGATACTATTCCGCCCTCGTTCCTGCGGTTCCCGTACTCGCCCGATGGGTGTGTACTATCGGAATGCGTTGAAACATTGCGGCCACGAGGCGGTCGGATTAAATCTTGATACATTGCCGCTATCCACGCGTAAAATTCGTGCCCTCGCGAGCGCGCGTGTACCGTGACCAACGTAAACAGAGTTAGCTGGTATCGAAACACATGGACGGTTGGGAGTTGGCTACGATCGTCGAAAAATACTTGATTTATCGACGGGCAAGCGGTCTGATCGCCGATAGTGCCGGCTCTATCGTAGCGAATTACTAAGTGGCCACTTGTCCGCCACGGTTCCTTCTACATGAATTATTCTATTCCGTGACCGGTCGCGCGTCCGAGCCGGCTAATTGTCGCTTTCTCCGTCGACGAGCAAACTCGCTCGTTAGCGGTCCCGTCGCGTCCCGATCCGTTTCGTGGCTCCTTCTATCCAGCCTCGATCGTCCTCCTCGATCTTGTCCCACGGGCTGAATTTCGCCAATCGAACACGTCCGAGATCTTATCTAACCGCTTGGCCGGACCGCGTTAACTTTCCGTTTATGTAAGCGTCCGGTTCTCTGACGTCACACGTCGCGACGTCCGTTTTATTCGCCCGTGTCCTCTGTTCTCTCGAGGGATACCCGGACAAGGGAACCGTCTGATTACGTCAGGCGTTTCGAACAGGGCGTGTTTCACGGCGTTGCATCTCCTCGAAATAGGGATCACAGTTTTCGTGCCACGTCGAACGTTGCGTGCCGGCCAGCCGAACGTGAATCATAGTGATTACCTATTTGCCGTGGCATCGCCCGTAGTCTCGGGAATTAGAGAAGCCGAAGGATTATTGAGTTTCTTGCGATTCGACCGGGACGCTCGGACGCCCGCAGGACTGCGCGGACCTCTGACTCGTTTCTTCGTTCATTTCGTTCGCAGCGCTCGTTAATTGGAGCTACTGTATCGATTACGTAAAGTCTCGAGCCTTAAGCGTGTACCGCAGGCTATAATTAGTACATTCCTTTTCGAAGCGGTCACGAGTCGCGTAGAAGTAAGTCGCGGTTAGCTACGCGGCTAAATGGCTATGTAGGATGAACTTGATAGCAGAGTACTGTACAATTTTCTATACACTGCTGCTTCAAGGTCCTGGATATCTTTCTACCATTTTCTTCTTAATATCGCAATTCATTATTGCTAAATGTTCCCTGGGTACAGACAGCTCGGAGACGACATATGCTCCGGTTGATGATTTTCAACCAGTATCATACGCTTAAAAATCGAGAACGGCGGGTTGTTTGAGACGCTTAAGCAAGCGGCACGATATGAAAAGGGCAAACGTCCCATACGCGTGTCTTCGACCCGCTAAAGCACCTCAAATAACACACCGCCCTTGTCTCTTTGGATTATAGTGTATTAAAGATCGTTTGGACTTACGGACAATTGTCCACGGACGGTCTCTAGATAGTCTGCATAGATTGCCTGTGTACAATCTGCAGACAAGAGACAACATACAAGTCCTGCAGACAAATGTTGGTCTGCCTAGAGTTATGTCTTCAGCCTTTACACTCCCCCAAGAGATTGCTCCGAGATCTGTCCCTGCGCTAGGAGACGATAATTCTTCCTGTAGAATGAAATTCGGACCAGAAACTGAGTAATTCTGTTTGCAAGGATTATTACCATAACATTTACTAAAGATACGACTGTCAATTTAACACTTCGCACAATTAGCATAATATTATTCTTTCTTTCATCTTTGTGCTAATTATTCGAGGACGTCGAATTTGTAATCAGTAGTATCCCCCAGGGCAGTCAGCGCGTTCGTTTCAATTACACGTCCAATGAAAGTGTTGAAAAGCTAACTGGTCGGATTAGCGAATGAAATAGCGGTTGGAGAAGAGACGATGGACGACCGAGAAATACCCTGACGTCTGTCATTCGTCAGCGTCGAAAGGACAAAGGGAGTTGGTCTCGGTGTCCTACGGATAATAGAATAGATGGCGAATGAGATAGGAGGTGATATCTCGAAGACCGAAAAAGGAGCAACTAGCCGAACGTCCGGGACACGGTGTACGTTACCCCGTGTCCTCTTCTCATAATCGATTAGCCGTCTAGGCAGAGGAATCCTTTTCTGTAACCCAACACGTTTGATCCTTCGACGGACAGAGAGGAGCCGGTGAACGGGCAATGATAAAAAGAAAGAGAAAAAAAAAGTACGAGAGAGATAGAAATTCCACCAGAAGCATTTAGGACTTGTGGCCTTGCAAACGCCTACGTTCCAATTCACTCCGTCTCGTTTCCAAGAGAAGTCTTCGTGTTCGTCGCAGCATCCTCCCGTCTCGGACCGATTTTATTGTTGGCGTATCCGTTCGACGACGCTACACGTATACCGCGTCCGTGCGGCGAAGTGGTCCAGCTACATGAAATTGAAAGTTAAGCGTGGGTCGATGGCTACCGCCCAGACCGGTCCAACTTTACTCGCGACGTTAAGTCACCGGTTGGTCCGTGAAAATATCACTGGCCTTTCGTTACGGTCCGACGTTCGAGCATCGATGGCATGCGAAAACTTACGTATCCACAGTGGTTTCACTTGGCACGATAACCCTCGCGAATTCTTCCTTTGTCCGATCGTAATTAATTAAATAATTTATGACCACGAGACGCGCGAAGGACGATGGGCTCGCGGGATGCACGCTTCTAAAGGGTACGCTGCAATTAACCGCGTATAATTAAACCCTGGCAATTAGCCCGGTATGTTAATATTAATTACCAGCTGGTCCATTTTTTACCTCCCCTCGTTCGAACGCGATTCCCATGATTCAACTGCTGGTACACCTGGTCGAACACACGTTGAATCGTTGGGGAATGAAAGTGAAATCTGTGAACTCTAGGTTCTTGAGAATTTGTACATCGAACGAGTGAAATGAGACTGAAAATATCAATGTTAATTATAAAGATGACTACCTGATTTTAATCGGTGCACCCTTATGTATTTTTAGGTCAACATTGACCCGTTTGTTTCCAGCTGGTTTACGTCGGGATTCAATCTGGTTCTTGTTTGATCGTAGGTCACGGGCCAATTATTGGACACGGAGTTTCAACCAACGGTTACAGCGACATGCAAGGCCGGCCACATGACAATACGAGTGAATCTCAATCAGAGTTTCGTGGGAGCGGTTCACGCCAGAGATTTTCGGACGCCGCAATGCATGGTCCCTGGAAATGGTTCCACGCACGCGACGCTCGCCATTAATCTACTCGCGCCCAAAGGATCTCCGGATTACTGTGGTGTCTTGATAAATAATGTGAGTGGCTCGTTTCGTGCTTTACACTACTCAAATATGATCCACATGAAAATCCTTCAAACACGAAACGATGGATGAAAATAGAAGATTCATAGTTTCGATGAAATACGCGTTTGTCAAAGTGTCACCAGCCGAACGTGTCCTTAAAAAGATTCTTCTAAATCTCATAATTCTTGCAGGACACCGAGGAACGTTCCGTTCCCATCGCGGTGAGGATACACAAGACCCTGGAGCTGGCGGACGATAAATTCTACGTGATCACGTGCGGAAAAGCCGGATTCAAAAACGCCAAGTACATAACAGTTTTATTAATATTATCACGGTATCTCGTGAAATCTCTTGGCTGAATAGTAATATCGCAACGACGATTTTTTCCCCCTCTCAGGAACGAGACGTCGTTGGTGTCGTTGCGCCTTTTGGAGGCAGGTCACAAAGTGCAAGAGGCTATTTACGGTCACAACTACACTTTGCGTGCTGAGATCTCGCGACCGGACGGTTCGTACGCTATATCTCTCGCTTCGTTTCACCCTTTACCCTTAATTGGAATTAACGAGCACGCGTAAAGCGTTCGCACGGATGCCGAGGTTACGCTCTGATCGATATCCTTCTGCTTGCAGGAATGTACGGGATCAAAGTGAAATCCTGCTTCGCGTTCAACAAACGAAACACCAGTGTCCAGTTGATAGACGATAAAGGGTACGTCGAACATTTTCTCTCAATTCTTCTGTTAATTAACCCGTTCGATATCGCGTGAGATTCAGAACAGATATATTAAGTTAAAATGATTTTCAACTGTCCTCGATTCGATATCGATCATAAACCATCGATTGCGTAATTCTCGTTTTCCATGACAAAGGTGTCCCGTAAAGGCTCGAGTAATGACGAAATTCATATACGATCGAAACACCGGCCTGGCGGATGCGACATTGTTCTCGATGTTCCGGTTCCCGGACAGTCCACAGGTGCATTTTCAATGCGACATCGCGGTGTGCAGAGGTGAGCTGATTCGTTGAATGAGTTTCGATTACAACGATGAATCTGGGTTACAGAGTGCCGTTCAACTCTCTCGATTAACATATTCTCTCGAAAGTTCCTACCCTCCGCGTTGGGGCAGGCCTTTCAATGACAAATAGCGATACACGTCTTGCGAGGAACAATGTTCAATCGCATGGTCGATCGAGTTTGAACGGTAAAACGACCCTGTCAGAGATAACGAGTGACAAGGAGATCGTGAATTTTTCTTCTAGGAAGCTGCGGTATCCCCGTCTGCGAAGGCGATAACGAGGAAGAAGTAAAGGGAGCGTCCTTAATTAATGGGCAAAGCGTGAGCGGCGAGGAAGGAGTACTTCTTGCCGGCACGAGCGTGTTCGTTCTTGACCCTGGTCAAACGCCATGTAAATATAGCACCCTACTATTCATAGTCAGCTTCACTTCCTGCTACTCCTCGTGATATCGTGCTTGAAATCACTTTTCTATCTTTTCTTTCTCCGCTGCTTGATTAGCTCTACCTCGTTGAAATTTTACGCCAAACCATCGCGTGCCTTTCTTTTTATTCGTTACAACAGCTGTACAGACACTGTACGAGGACGGAAGCGTTCACCCGTTATGGCTCCTCTGGCTGGCAGTAGCTCTCGGCATTTTGTTCCTCATCATGCTCATAATCAACATATTCCTTTGCTCGGCGATGACCTGCAGCTGCACCAGGACCGACATTATCGAGAAGGAGCCGTCGATCATCGAAGACTACGATCCGTATCGTAGCTGGCATGGATCTCAATATGGCTCGAGGTACGATTTTATTTATTTTACCTTACGTTTCATTCGTGCACAGGATCGTTCGAAACTTCCTGGTTGCCCAGTAATCGCTTGGAAACGAAAAATAATTTTCATTCGAACTATGCAATTGAGACGTTTAGATGATGAGGTTTCGAGGAATGTGCGTGATTCGAAATGATCGAATATAGCGTTCGTGTGCTGGGAACAAAATAACATCCTGATGAAAAATGTTAACAGGTTGAGTGCTGCTGATCAGCTGTATCGACGAAGATAGCGATCGACGATTAATTTAATTGCTGCTTTAGATCAACGATTTTTACTCACGTTGAAATATTGATTAATATTTTTGTGATATAATCGAACGGGAGGTTTGTGGACAGCTCGATGTGACCGGTTCGACGGCTTGTATGAGATTGTTTAGAATTAAAAATTCAAGAAGCGTGTGCCCGCTTCTCTATTACCATTCCTTCATGCTGTGGGTCTTTCAAGGCTCTCAATTTATGGCTTAGCCTTTCAGATACTTCTGTTCCATCGTTTGACATAATTTTCTAGTCGCGCAAGGCCAATCTTGAGTCAGTGTTTTATTTATAAATTAAATTTGTAACGTTGGTTACGTGCGACGCCCACGACGATCCATCTGTTAACAGACAAAATATGGACGGAATTATTTCTCTATTTTACATTTAAATTTTTATTATTCTTTGATAATATCATTACTATTCTAAGCAGTCGTCATTGTATTCAATGAAACATCGTTAAGGTAAACCTTATTTTTAGTATCAACTAAATGAATCATTGTCTATGTCCAGGTATTCCTTAAACGGGAAGCAAGGATACGCTTCCGGAGGATCGACGATGAATTCCACGAGGTCGATCTCGACGAACAGCGATCACTACGCCATAGTTCATTCCAGACCTGGTAGCCGATACTCCGGTCCAGGACAGAAGCATCATCATCATCATCGAGGGCCACCGTCGAACATCGGTTCTCACTATTCCGGGAAATAATATGTTGAACAGAGTTTCCGAACGACGATATAATAGAACGAACTGATTTATCGATTAACGTTCCGAACACGAACTTTTTTACTATGTAATAATTCAATCACGTGTAACGGGTACTTCGATTCGATGGAATCATTGCTCACACAGGACAAACTACACGAGTACCAGTGGCAGTAGAGAATATAAATTGATCCTTGACTCGAAACTGAAGCTATGCTTGATTACAACGTTTTATAATTCCGAAGAAAAAGAAAAACGATTATTAACCCATTTGCTAGCACGATCCCCAAATGGGGATTTGAATATATATATATATATATTTTTTTTTTTATCACTTGCAATTATATTAAATAAAATGTTAAATAAAAATATCAAAAATAAAAATTTGGCAGTTAATGGATTAATAATTGATTGATAATTTGAAGTATTAGAAGAAAATTTGTTTTTTATCGTGGCTGTCATTTGAGAGATTCATTTCGCGTTAAGGATTGATCCACGTAGCTTGATACGTCCTCCATAGTTACTACTAATATATTACGTGCGTAAAAAAAGAATCATAATTCTTGTTTTCGTTAGAGTATTTTTGTACTAATGTCCAAGTATCCGTATAGTTGTCTGTCCCTTCCTTCAACGAGACAGGAAGTCTGTAGCGCAAATTAGATGACGATCGAACGATTAAATTTGATACGTCTCAAATGTCGAGGTATTGCAATCGTTTCATTTATAGCTAGAGTCTAAGCTCGAGAAATGGTTCTTCAGCTAGATCGTATATGTATCATATAATAGTCATAAACGTAGGTATTTAGCACTAATAACGTTGCGCAATATTGTACTTAATTAAAATCGGACGAAAGCTTTTGTATATAAATTCATCGAATCGGAAATCATTGCTCGTATTCAACGACACGTAGATTCGTCGATTTACTATCATCGAAATCCACGTACACATGGTACACGCGCAACTGACACCATCCAACTACGAGTATTAACGAATGAAATTTTATATTTTTTATAAGATCTTCGATATTTCGAGAAACGACGGGAACAAGGGATAAAACATAGTCTCTTTTCCCTATCGTCGATACGATTATTTTGTAACAGCTCAATGAAACATTCCACGTTCAACGAGTCACAGCTACATGTCTTTTAAATACATTAAAAATTTGTCAAAGTGATATTTCTTCTACCTAAACCTTTTGAGATTTTCTAATTCTTCTATGGAAAGTAGATATTATCGGTCAACTTCATTTACATTAATGATCGAATGTTGGATAATCGATCAATCAAGCTAATTAATCGGCATTTGCAGAGCGTACAGCTATTTCTCCATTCATCGAACAGATGTTAACTAATCAAGAAGTGAATGAACGCAGGAAGGAGATGCAATTCGCGTGACTCGGCCGTTTTACGGATATTACGGATGCAGCTATTTTCTAATTAAATCTCAGCTCCGTTCGCAAGATGAAATTATCAACAGGAGTCTGCTAGGATGGCGATCAGCGTGTACTGCATACCAGTCCTTCATAAATATGCTTTGTCACGTAAAGACACACGTGTATTGTTCGTTTTGTCATACCAAGTACCTCGTCGAGGACAAATTATGAATGCGAAATTTCTTTACGACAAACTGCAATTAAACACACGAACAATGTTTCGTATTATCCTTACTTCAATGCATCGTTGCATCATGTTTCGTGCATTTGGAATATGTGACTCGTTATACTTGAAAAATTCTATAAGAGATGCTATAAGATCACGAACAATATTTCAAGAATTTATATTTTTGAGTATGGAAAAAGAAATATTTTTAAGCCGATCATTTCATTGCATTTTTCACTCTTACGTAGTTAATTAGTTGGAAAGGATCACATGTCGGAGTTTAATCGAGTGAGCCTTAGTACCGCTATTTTTGCAATATCATTAATTAAGGAACTTGTTAACGTAAATGATAACAGTACTCTAATCTCTAGTACGGTACTTACTCGTGACATTTTTAGAAAGTCAAGTCAATCTCCTTTTACGATATAAAAGGAAGAAGGGGATTTTATGGTTCTCTTCGAACGCGAAATGGTAGAGGAATTTTTAAAAACAAATTTATTATTAAATGTACATCTTTATCTGATAACGGAGTATACGCGAATTACTCGCTTAAATACTACCTGTACAAAAACACGAATACTCATCTCTGTTCGTGGACGATAACGTTCGAATCTCTTAGAGGCGTATCGTTATATTAATAATTACACTCTGTAATAAATGATTACAGACATTCTTTTTTTTTTTAAATAAAACACGAAGGATCCATATGATTTTCGAAGGAAAAATATAGAAAGGCTCATGGTTGAAAAAGAATGAAGGGAAATAAATTAAGCAAAGGTAAAGAAAATTCGCGATAACGTTAAATACAATGAAGGGAATGTCTTTAAAAATAAATAAGGATCGACTTAACGAACGTCTGACTAACGACAGGCACGTTCTACTTAGCCTGTGAAACCTATCACCACCGACGATACACCAGAACGTGGTCTCGTTGTTCCGGCAAAAGCAAAGCTGTCCAATTAAAACATAAACCCTCGACGATCCTCGAAAGCAAGAATCGATTCTCGTGTCTCGGTTAACCGACAATTAAATGTACACGTTTTATCCGCAAACGATACCAGGGAGAATGTACCCCGGATGTCGTTTCGAACGTGGCACTTCCTCGCCATAAATTCCATAAAATAAATTATGGCGACATCGAGGTGAATCGTGAGAACAAAAAGACACGTTAAAGGACAAGCGTGCACCAACAACATTTCGCTCGTTAGCCTCATCGTCGCGTCGCTGAACCACGAATCGTCGCGATCGAGTATTTCGTGTTTTATCGGCTCCGTCTCGAGCGTATTCAACGAAATCAACCAAAAAAAAATGGGGGATTATTATCTACAAAGCGCGATTCGCGAGCCGGTGCAAGGATCTTGAGTGAACATGCACCTTGCCACGATCGCTGTACGGTCGAGCTTGCTAAAGCGTTCGTGAATTGTGAGTTTGCGAGTAATCGTTTAACGTATTTCTCCACTCGTGATAAAGAAAACGGAGGCACCATGAATAAACGTACAACTATGCATATGTGCGAATGTATATGTGTAGAAGGGGCGTGCGACAAAGTTCGCCGCGTTCGAGGGTTACACGATCAAACTTCATTGACTCTCGTACAAAAGGATTAAAGGACTTGTTGATTAAATGTTTGACTTCGCCAATCGATCACTCGTCTATGTTCCGGCACGACGATCGTGTGTCAATACTAAAGATGGAATGCAAGTTCATCGAGTTACTATTTTGTTAATTTTGAAATTATTGTAAATATGAAATACTTTGCAAATGTATGAAATGGAACATCAGGTCAGATTTCAAGTAAACTCGATCCCATCTCTAGTGAACAACAATGAGTGATGTTTTCGCATCGAAATTTCCCGGTGAGCAAATAAATAGTGAATGGAATCGTTAAATCGATCTAGAGAGAGTAAAAAAAAATATATATATAAAAAAACAACGTAACCTGGCGCGCGTGTTTCGTAAGGGTGAATGGAAATACCGAATGGAACGCATTTTACCGCCACGGCTACGTCGGGAATCTCTTTGACACCTCTCCCGTCTTCCTTGACACTAATCTCTAAGAATACCATTTTTTTTTTCACTTTTCTTTTTTCTCATTTACACATTAGGCAATAACTAAATATTTCCTTCTCGTTTCCTTTTCGTTGTTGTTTACTTCTGTTCACTCTAATTGCCGTAATCGAATGGCCGACAAGGACAAGAACGAAAGTAGCATGCTCTAATTACGAGCACGAATTTTCTCCCTAACTAAGGCCACTTTAGGAACCTGGATTCGATCCAACTAACCGAAGCGTTACATCGTCGGATCTGGTCCGAGAAGCGGCCACGATCATCTGGATCGAACGGATCGAGTTTCCTTAAACAGCGTTTCTCTAATGATCACCGATCGACCGTCTCACGGTGAAAGGTCTTCGCTGCACATTGTCTCGCAGATTCCACCGCGCGTTATATCTGTTTTTCTTTTTCATTTTTTTCTTTTTACCCCAACACTCCCCGTTAATGTCTCGTTAAATGTAACGACTATTTCTACATTATTTACAGAGTTACAAATGTTAGTAACATTCGCGAGTACCTACGTAATTTGTCCGGATGCTTTACACCGTACGAAGGATGCCGGCCAATTAAATACGGTTGATTAAAGTCGCCGAATTGAAGAGATTGGACGCAAGTTAGTTGAATAAAGCATCCGGTACTTAATAAATATCGACTGTTGCCAACGCAGAGTCGTAATCGTCGTTCGGGAACGATCGCTGTCGCGGCACCAAGAGCGGTATATTTACCGTGTCTGATCAAAGACACTCGTTCTACTGTCTGTTGTCTTTGCGCCTCGTTTTCGAGGATAACTCTTCAGTTGTCTCTGTTTCCCTTTTCTTCTCTCTCTCTCACTGCGAAACGATCCTCGACGAACGACCCGACGAAAGGAAGAAATTACGAAATGGATTCGCTACAGCATACCGTGACTACTTTACAGGAATACGCTAAGAATATCGTGTATGCTTTGGACCGCCTCGATTTCCTTTGCTTTTGACTTTCTTCAAGATCGATCAGTGAAACGAGTCCAACGATAGCGAGGGCGGTGTTATGGGCGGCAAATGGTCCCCGCATCTTGGGAAATTCGGCGGCACAGGTGGAAGATCGGCGTGCGTTCCGACGTGGAGAATCAGATTCATTCCGATAAGTATGTGGAATAGGAAGTGACAATGGAACAGCCAGTATCCTGAAAAAGAAGAATGTTAATCATCGTAATAGGAGGGTTTTCAGTTTCAAGTATTCAGCTTGGTAGAGTTGGATGAAAACTGTTCTTGCAGCGTTGTTTGAGGATATTAAATATTTTCCATGGGATTGCACGCGTAATGGTGCAGCTCCGCTTACCAGGATTATCCGCACGGAAGCGGAAAATGACGTAGCCGTTGTTTGGAATAGCAATAGTGTCCTTGGCAGGTGGTAGATTGAACTGTCGATTGAGAAGACCCCTCTTGTCGAGATCCAACGCGTGTTTCAGATTAATCTTCTTCACGTTCTTGTCGGGCGAACGACCGATACCGATCACGTTGAACGCGTAACCGTGCAAGTGGAACGGATGCGAAAGATTTGGTTGTTGTACTGTAAAAATAATAATCGACAGGTGTGTAATTGTAAATTCCGTGTTGACACTTTGACGGCTGCACTTAAGTATTCATGATTTCGATGTTTAATCTCTTTTGAAGTAGAATCGCACCTTCATCGACGAGAACCACTTCGACGACCGCATTGTGCGGGATATCGACCTGATGGGTGCACATGCAGTTAGCTCCGCAGTCAGCTGGTCTGTTGTCCCCGTTGCAGAATTGTTCGGGCGGGATGTCGTCGATTTGCGAAAGCGGAGGCGCCGGCGGAAACGTGAACGAGATTTCATCCACCAGAGAGATTACATGATCTCCGGTCGGAGCGACTGCAAACACACCAATCGAAATGACAAACGGTTACGCGGATCGATCGGATTCCGATATTTAATAGATTCAATGATAATGAACGAGATTGCGTTCGCTGGTGCATGGAAAAAAGAAGCTATCCTCTGAAAGAAACGAGCGATCGTTGATCGTGTTCGAGATGTTTCGAAATCGTCGACTCTTACCTAAGAATCGATTATAGGTTTGCGGCTGGAAGACTTCTTCTGGCCTGTAGAAGAGGAAACGGAATGGCAAGAATATTTTCACGTCAGGACGCTGTTGGAGAATTCCTTGATCGACCTGACGGGCGTTCTTCAGCTGGCTCACGCAGATCGCGTCCACGCGGTCGCGATTGCAAATTGCGTCCAGAGGATTCAACACCTGGATAAAAACATGATTTCGTAATTAATTTCAAATTTCAAATTATAGTTTGCCCAAATGTTTCATTTGGACTTTCAATCGAGAAAAACTGAAATGGTTCAGTTTGCTGTTTCAAGTGTACCGATCGCAGCACCGTTAAGGGAGATGGAAAATGTCCCGGTGCAATGTCGCAATTATACTTACAACACCCTGTGGAAGACCAAAATCGTAAGTGGGCGCCGTGGTTGTCGGTTGGTATGGACCACGCGCGTAACGCAATATGCCCAACT